ATTTGACACAGAGAGACACAGTGAGAGAGGGAACACAAGCAGGGGGAGTAGGAGAGGGAGAAGCAGGCTTCCCGCCGAGCAGGGAGCCCAATGTGGGGCTCGACCCCAGAACCCTGGGACCATGACCTGAGCCGAAGGCAGACACTTCACGGCTGAGCCACCCAGGTGCCCCTATATAATGGAATATTACTCAGCCATAAAAAAGAATGAAATATTGCCATTTGCAACGACACGGATGGAGGTAAACAATATAATGCTAAGCGACATAAGTCAGAGAAAGAAAATACCATATGATTTCACTTGTGTGGAATTTAAGAAACAAAACAAATGGACAAAGGAAAAGAAAGAGACAAAGCAAGAAATAGACTCTTAATTCTAGAGAACAAACATGGTTACCACAGGGGTGGTGGGTGCGGGGATGGGTGAAATAGGTGATGGGGATTAAGGAGGACACCTGTGATAAGCACAGGGTGATGTATGGAATTGTTGAATCACTACACTGTACACCTGAAACTAACATAACAATATATGTTAACTACACTGGAATTAAGAAGAAAAAAAAAAAAAGGCAGTTCCGCAGTTGACAGCAAGGGCAAGGCTATAACTCAGACCTAAAATCATGCCGTCATGGCCCTGAAGACCAGTCTCCCAGGTTTCAACCGCCACAGGCATACTTTATTTGACCTACACAAAATTGCCCACCCACTCCCAACCAGGGTTTTCAAAAATGTTTAATGAGTTGCCAATTTATTTCACACTAAACAGAGGCTTCCACAATCTCTTGAAAACTTGGAAGATTTGACAGCCCTCGGTCAACAGCCCTGCACAGCAAGTCTGCCTGGCACCACTAGAGGGCAGGCCTTTCCTCCAGGCACACGCTTGCCACAGACAACTGGTTGCACTTGAGCTTCTGCTTTCCGGACTGGCTTCTGTGAGCAGCTGATTACATCTGATCTAAATTACATCCTAATTTAGATGTGGACAAACGCTGGTGCTGAGTGACCGCAGGCCAGGGATCGGGGGTCTGGCTATGGCCTGCGGCCTTCCCCAAACGTCTAGAGCACAGAGTGGGAAGCCAAAGACTGGGGATGGAAACACTGTCGCTACCACTTGGCAGCCTTTACCGGGCCCCCGTGTGCCACTCAGCTGATCAGAAGGCCTTCTATCTGGAGACAGGAGCTTGTGTGCCTTTGTTATCTTTCCATAATGCTGAAGACTGAAAACAAAACAATAAAACCACCTTATTCTTTTCTTCAGAGTTCTGAGGAGATGACCATAAATGGGTCTGATTCTTAAATCCCACACCAGAACCGATAAAAGATGCAGTGGGTGTGAGTTCTCCAAGGACAGGGCCTGTCTGGGGTAAAACCACGGAGCTCTTCGCCCTCTCGGAACCCCACATGGGACAGGGCATCGGACATTTTTATCCTGGTGTGGCATTTCAGTTGGTGAGCTGCTTCCCTTAGGAGCATTTGCACCACAGGATGTGAGACTGTTCCCAGGTAAAAATGGTTCCACTATCAAGAGAAAGACAAGGAGGGCCCCTGCAAAGGCCCAAGAGCACAGCTGCCCATTCCTTGTCACATTAGCCCCGCTGCAAATTAATTTTTAATGCCTAAATGAATGAACATGTCAACTAGCCTAGTGCTGAAAATTCCCACCGATAAACAGAGTGGAGGCATATTTCCATCCCCTGTAAAACTCAAAGATGTTATCTGACTGACATCTTAGTTAATCATACTTAATGCTAAGATTCAGGTTCTGACAGAATAGAACATAGGATAGCAAGTTTGATGGAGGAAAAAGATGGAAAAGTCCAGGATCCCAGGCCAGAGTGAGATCACAGTGAGGAGATGAGAGTGAGGCATCACAATCGTGAGAGTAAGAGCGCAGAGTAGTAAATAGTACTATTTCCCCCTCAGCTAGCTCTGCTTCTGACTCAGACTGAAAGCCGTGGGTGGGTGTCAGTCTTTCCTCACTTCCGCTATTAGAGAATAAGCGTCTGGCCAGCTGTGATGACAAACAGCGAAGATCCTGGTGAGTTATTAAACGACCGGCTCGGACCTCAATTTCAGTTGGGGAAGGCGAAAGCAACTTAAAGCAGACATTTCCATACCTCTCGTAAATGCAGTATCAAGTCCCACTTCATTTTAATCTTCCCCATGAACACATGCAATACCTCGCCCCGGGAAGGATTAACGTGTATTTTTCTAAAAGTGAAATGAAGGGTCTAAGAATTTAGGCCTGGTATAAGATGGCGCATGTAGCCAAGCTCAAATCAAATCACATCCTAAGAGAAGAGCCCATATTTTTTTTGCATTTAAATCACTATGCAACTTGTATATAGAGAATCATCATAATGGCTTCATCTCCATCTCTTGGTAAGTCAGCCAGCTACCTTCTATGAAGATAACCTGATAGGAGACATTAAAGCAGTTTTTTTTTTTTCCTCCAGCACTCCTAAGAGAAGAGGGAAAAAAGGAATCAGAGTGCAGGTAATAGCTCTCACCCAAAGAACAAAGAGTCAAAGACACACTTTAATATGAAATTGTGTCCTCCAGTTTCCACATCCAAATGTCAGTTCTGCCAAAAAAAAAATCCAATGTGAATGGATTTATGCAAGGTGCAAAAGAGGAAAATAATTATTACAATAAACATTGACTAGACAAAGAACAACAGATGCAAACAACACAGATTGGATCACTCTGCTATATAAAAACATCCCGTTTCTTTTCGCATAAAAGACATCTTGCTTTAAAAATAGTCAAAACATCTAAGGAGAGACACACAGAACCCAGAACCTAGTACCATCTCAACTACGTGAAGTTTTTTCCTCTTGCCCAGGGCTTCACTCTGCCAAATCATTCACACTCTGCAGTGAGTTCTTCTGGACTCCTAAAATGCTGTATATTCTCGCTCCACCCGCCCGACTTGCCCCAGTAAATCCTTCATGAGAGGTAACACAGGAGGCTAGTACCTCCAGGAAAACCTGTTAAGGAAGAAGAAGGACCTTACCACTTCTGGGAGCAGCCTTGTTGAGAGGTCATGGATGGCTTTGACCACTATACATATGGATGACAGAAGGAATATCACCCCCAGGATGACACAGGCTCTGCAAAGAAACAAAACATTGAGAATCTCAACCGGGAGAAGTCCGCTCCGCTCACTTACACAATAAAACCCCAGGTACCGGTAGCCACACGTAATTCGCCACATGCCCACCAGGAGAAATGATACTGAATCATCTCTAGGATCCCAGGCCAATTTATCAGCAAAACCAACCCCATGGGCAAAGGGCTCACCATCCTACATAATCTCAGAGCATCCCATGAATGCTGGCAGGGGAGGAATTTCAAGGATGTTAAATCTATCCCTTCGGCCTGGCAACACAATATGCCGGTTCACCTCCAGCTGGAGGGTTCAGTTTAACAGCAAAGAGTGAGGGCTCTGGCCTGAAACACCCCAAGCTCTACCACTGATCTTGGTCAAGCTACTGAACTTCTTTTAGCTTCACCTGTCAAATGGGAATAATATTTTCCACCTGAAGATGAAATGAGCATCAGTAAATAAATAAATAACCCATTAATGTTGGCCTAAACAAAGGAGAAGTCCACTCTGGAGGTCTCTTTCTGATATGACGTGATAGACACCACTGTATTTTCCCAAAGATAAGAAGGAAGAATGATTTGGTAACAACAAAAGATACAGAGTGTTTATGCCAAGAGGAAGCAATTCTTTAAAAAGAAAGGAGAGGAGTGAAGGAAGAATGAGTTCAATTGAGACATTAGCACAGCAGGTGGCAGGAGGAAAACCAGAGGATGCACAGCCAGGGGTGTGGGGTGGGGGCTGGTAGGAAGTCTGGGGGAGCTCAGGACATAGGAGCTTTCTCTGGCAAACCAGACGCAACAATTTGCAGGAGAAGCAAAGATGAAAAATGAAAGTAAACACGAGGAAATGATGATAGTAATACAGGAGTCAAAACACCAAATGAAAACAAAAACAGAGAAAAATTAACAACTACAATTAGCCCTAAGTCATTCCTATTCCAACCTGATGTCCCCATCACTTGGCAGCCTCCTCAGGCCTTTTCTCTCAACTATCAAATAAAACCATTTTTCACTGTCCATCTTGGATTCCCTTCTCTGGATTAACAGAACAGCCGAAAATTGCCCACGTAACACTGAAGTAACACCTACTTAGTTAGAATCCTAATGAGCCCATGGACAGACATGGTCCCCCGAACCTCAAAGTCAGAAATAAGCGGGTAAATAAGGCTTCTTGGAGCCCACTCCATAGGCTTCTAATGCACACTCTAGTTGTAGGTTTTAGTCTTTCAAAAACAGACAGAAAGAAAGGATCATTGCAGATTAGTGCATAACACAAAATTTAGAGATTGTAGGAAAAGTAATGAATGGGCTGGGGATCTTGGTACAGACTTGAGCAAAAGAGGACCTGGCCCTAGGCACCAAAATGGGTGATCCACCATGGGTGGATGAGCCTGGGTTGGGGGGGACACAGACTCAAGGAGGAAAAAAGATAATTCAGGCAGTAAGTACTCACTAATGCAGTGGCAGGAGGGAAGAATGCTGACATGAGGCCCTCAACCTGGGGCTGGTAACCCCAGTCCTGGCAGGGCTATGGGTCAAAAGGGGCTGAAGCCAGGAGGGGTGTCATGAGGGAACTAGGTCCATCTACTGGAGGCTCTTTAGTGACGAGATAAGTGAGCAAAACTGAAGAACCCCGGGATTGGGGGATCAATGCTCCCAAGGCACTGGCCCCGGAGACCCAGCTGTGCCCACGGGGAAGCAAGCTATAGGCCAGTGTGACCAGCACCTCAAATAACCATTCCTACCTGCACACTGTGTGTGTGGGGGGGTCCCATTTACAGGAAAAGAGCCTAAAGTCAGAATAGTCCTCCAATGTAAGTTGAGCTTTTCTCCATTCAAAAAATTCCTGAGGGTCTACCACAGACTCTCTCTGATTCCCTCTTTCAGATAAAGTCAACCACCAACTCAGTGCTTCTCAACCCAAGGGCAAACTGCACTCACCTGGGGAGTGTTTTTGACAGTCGCCCAGGGAACTCTCAAATTCAACTGTATCAGAATCTCGGGGGGGGGGAGGTGAACCCAAGCATCCGCATTTGTTTCAAAGCTCCCAGGCAATTCCCAGAGACACTGGGGTTGAGAGTCCTGCACCTAGACCCAAGGGGGGGCCCTGCCCTTAGGGAGCTCCCAGTGTGGCGTAGAAAGTCACAACTCCCTGGACAGAAGGCAAGGCGCGAGTGGTCACGGCAGCTCGTGGGGAAGGAAGAGGTCTAATGGTCCCTACGGGATGTGTAGTGTATTTCTTACTGAGCAGCTTTCTCTCTGTGAGGCACAAGTGGGGAAGGCATCACTTGGGTGCTAGACCTTCTACGGACAGTTTATTACAACATCCCCAGGGAGTCTTCATCTCCATATTTCCCTTGGTGGGGGCGGGGGGGAGGGAACAAACGTCTGAACTTCTTGCTGACAGGTAACAGTGATGCTGCAGGAACCCATTTTATTCCAGATCACTGCAGAAACACCACTATAATGCATAAAGAGTGGATTTGAACTCTGTTTACATTTCGTAAGGAGACAAATATAAAGGATGCAATGGTCTCCTTACATACTATCTTGCTTATGTATCTTGAAGCAAAATTACACTACAAATCCCTTAAGGGCAAGAACCGTATTTTTATATCTTGGTATCTACAGGCAGGTGCCCCATATGCATCTGGAGAGTAGACGGAGTCGCTGATTAAGTAATTACTCAATAATTTCTAAGCGTTCCCCCATGGAGTTTAAGGGGCATCAGCCACTTACCAATACAGATGGGAAGGGGAAGGACACTCCTGATACTTTAGCCAAAATGCCTAATGAATAGCCCACCTTATAAAACCACTCTGAAGCGTAATGGAAATCAAAAGAAATTGATGGCTTGGTTTATTAAAGTTCAATTTTACAAAAAGTATAATCCTATTTTCTTCACAAATATACCTGCGAATATGCTCAAACATGTTTTAAAGCCCTGTTTTCATCTTCTTTTAAATGTGCTGCAAATTCAAAAAACCATAGTCACCCTTCCTTCAACACTGCTGGGAGCTTGCATGTCAAAGCTGCTCCCACAGCCTAAACCAGCTATTATTAGCAGAGGGTGTGATGCTATTTTTTAACATTTTATTAATAATATATTGTGTTTACACGCAGCTTTGTCCTCAGGCACTCAGAGTTCTGCACAGCAGGGCATAAATGCCCGGAGGCCACTCACCAGATCAGAGTTTCTGTTTTTCTATGATTTTTCAGGCTGGGAAGGAAAAAGGTGTGTTCCATAAACACAAGTGGTCAAAATGGGAAAGTCAAGGATGAGGAGGGCTTGTCCAAGGTCACCCAAGGAGTTTGAAGTCCACTTAGAAATACAACCCAGTCTCCTGACTCCCTCCTAGCAGCCAGCCCCAGTCAACCACCTGGCCACTCGAAGACTCTCTGCATCCACATCACATCCTCACACCTCCACCGCCCTGGGACTGCGGTGGCCTCCAGGATGCAGGCAAGATCTGGGTCAGGAGCCAACACTACAAATACGGCTGCTGCTTTCTGCAACCGTGTGCTGCTTCCTAGTTTGCGAGGAAGCAGAAGGGGGAGCGATGGAGGGTCACTGCCCCATCAGCACGTCACCAGGCGAGGCTGGCCTGGCAAGTAAAGGGCAATGTGTGCGTTGGCCTGACAGCCTGACAGCACTGAGCAGCCAGGTCACTGGAATGAATGCAAATTCCTTCTCGCTCTTGCCCATACCCCAGAGGAGAGAAACACTGAGTCAGGAAAGAGGCAAATACAAGGCCTCCGTCAACATAATCCCCCAAATGAACACAGACTGAAGTTGAATTTAAACTCCCCACAGGACCACTAGTTGTCAAAGACTGGTCCACGGAACAGCAGCATCAGCATCACCTGGGAACTTGTTAGAACAGCAAATTTTTGAGTCCACCCCAGATCTGCTGAGTCAGAAACTCTGGGGATGGGGCCCAGCAATCTGTGTTTCAATAAGCCCTTCCGGTGTTTCTGATGCAGTCAAGACAGAGCCTACATTAGTCTTTCCCAAGACATTTAATGTCTGAAAGATGACTAGTAAAATCTAGAGAAATGACTAAAGCCACTGGTCATCTCTTTTTCTTCTGCTAAAGGCTACAGATTACTAATTGTGCACAGCACTGTAATTCTATGAATAACCTTGAAGTAAGCATTAATATTTTTTTGCTGATGAAATTATAAGGGCAAAATGTACGGACAGATACTCTCACATCCAAAATGATGTCAGGTTGAAAGTTTGGTCCTTTGTCAATTGTAGGTTTGAAGGCCTGTGATTCACATTAATAAAGCATGAGTCTTATACCAGTTCTAAGTTATTTTCCATCAGATCCAAACACTCAAACAGGAGAAGTTTTGTCTAGTCATCCTCTAATTTACAAAAGACCTAAAACACAGTAGCCCTGGTAATTAATCAGTTCAGTCCACAGCTTGAAGTACCAATGTTTTATTTATCATCTTTCATCCTGGTGCCCAAAGCACTTGCGATCTGGGCCACTGTTCAAATGTGAAGTAATGAAAAATAAAAGACAGTCAAGTGTTGAGCACAAACATAGTACTTAGGGATGCACAATCTCTGGTGTTATTTTATTCCAGCTAGATTCTCTCTCCCTTCATGCGCCCTGCCATTTTAAATAAAGCCACAAAGTCCATTTGGAGGCAGGGTAAAGGGAAGGAGAAAGTGAGAAATGAATGCTTATGAGCCATTTCTCATTCTCTATAATGTCTATGCCAAACATTGATTAAAGACCACCATCTTCCTCCTTCCCTTGATTCTCCTAAGCTCTAGACCCCACCTCCTTTCACACCCACATTCCCATCTCTCTTCTCTACCTTCATCCTCATCTATCTAGATGCTGCACAGTGAACAGGCTGTGGTGTGAATGGTTCCCCAGGCCAGAGTTCTCCAGGAAAGTGGTCAATGCACTCTCCATGGTAAGATCATCCATCTCCTCAACATGTAACCACCAACTCACATGTAACCACCTTCCTCAACAAA